TCTCTCTCTCTCTCTCTCTCTCTCTCTCTCTCTCTCTCTCTCTCTCTTCTTTCGCTTTTTCTATCATTCTTAACCATTACTCTGAGAGCAATATTTAGCAAATCCCTAATAGGAAAGCAGTTATGGATTTCATAATTCTTTTCCATCACACTTAACCACAAAGCAAACAATTGTTTCAGGAAAAGTTTTGAGGTTTTTTGAATTTATTAATTACAATTTCAGAATTTCTAGATGTGATTCAAAGGCTGATTTAATTATTTAATTAGCAAACATAGAGAGTATATTGAATGTGTTAATTTCATAAACCTTCAACTTTGGGCGGTTTTGCAAACATACCCTCAACTTTTTTTAATCTCACGGACCCCACGAACCATGCGTATCTACAAAACCCCTCTGAACTTTCAACTTTTTTCATTGATCTCCCTACCTATAAATTGGCAAATACTTAAATGTTCTTGAGAGGGAGGAAGAAATCCTTAATTGACGGAGAGGGTGTAAGCTATAAAATGGCAAATACTAGATTTTGAGAGGACAAATGTCAAGACAGAACTCTTTGGCATCTCTTTTTTCCTTGTCTTACAAATTATCTTTCTCCAAAAATGTCAATGTTAGGTCTAAGAGGATCTTTCACAATAACCAATGGAGGTGGCAACCCTTGATTCAAAGGACACTTTCAGCAAATGATAGAGAAGATGTTACAGACTTAAAAGAATTCCTGCACAATCTCTCTATCACTCCCTATAGAAATAGAAATGAGGTATGGTGGCCATATCATCCTTCAGGTAAACTTCATAGTTAAGATCATGTACACCTTGCTTAATGGCAATGGCATTTCTTATAATGATTTTAAATTCATTTGGAAATCTATTCTTCCAACCAAAGCCAAAATTTTTGTATAGATTCTCGCCAAGAGAAAAACTCCATACAAAAGCTAATCTTGCCTAAGGGGTGGACTTAGAAATGCAACTTGTTCTTTTGCAATAACCAAATTGAATGTGATGAACATTTGTTTCTTCAGCACACTTTTGCGTTGGAAATGAATCTTTTCTTGCCCATGCTCAAATTATCCTCCTTGTCCCAAAACTTTGGCTTTGTTATTATTCATACGGTTCTCTGATAGAGGAGAGAGGAAGCATAAAATTATGGTCAATTTTTTTCCTACTCTTTGCTGGCGCATTTGGAGAGTGACGAATAATCTTATTTTCAATGATGTATCAACAATTGCTAGGTTGCTATTGTTGCATACTTCATATTATTCTGGACAGGTCACTCGGTATTTAAGAGAGCATCCACATTACAAGCGTTGGCTAAGGAAAGAGGGATAGTAGCTTTGCAGACGAGAGATGTTATTTGTGTCGAAAGTTGATTTCTTTGAGAAATTCATTACAACTTCAGGTGTTTACAACGAATTCAAAAGATGAGTCTTTTTATAAGATCTCTCTACACAAAAGAAATAGAAAGATTATAATTTTCTTTAAAACACACGCAGATGATGTTTATCACCCGCTGCTCGCATGGGGTCTTTGCCTATGCCGAGGTTTATCTGTGGACCGTCGCGGATCAGATCCGGTTGATCGGAAGGCTAAATGTTCGTTGCTTCACAAAGAAAACAAGAACAGAAGTGATAATCTCAACCAAGTGAGATTACAACTTTTCTCGAGATCAGTACAAATTCTGATCTCAAGGAATGACGAAACGAGCATCAGATCTCTCGAAACGCTCCTTCTTTATGCCGGAGTTCGCCAAAATCTGCTAGCCCTCCTCTGAAATTCGTGGGATTCACTCTCCAAACCGACAGCACCTCGCCATCTTTTCAGAATTTCAGATCCCCTGCGTATAGGACCTTAGGTTTGTATTTATAGGCTTCAATTGTGGTGTTTTTCGATAAGAACAAGTGATTTGGCCTCATCTTTAGTTAATAACGGTCTAACCACGTTTAGGGATGATATCCAAGTAGTTGGGAGGATCCGAAACGAATAAATTTTGAGAAAACATCAAAATACGCGTTTTCGGGAACCGGGGTGCGAGTCAGTTCAATATGACCCGCGGGCGTGCTAGTCACATTAATGTGACCCATACGGGAGCGGGTCACATCAACGTGACCCGCACGGGTGCGGGTCCTTTGATATAACTCGCACACCGACGGGTCGCTTTGATGCGATTTTCAAGCGACTATGTCTAGTTTTGGTCTTGTTCTGTCGTTTCACGGGTTTGTGCATTGATAATCATATTTTTATTACAATTTTATATCCTCATTATTTATTTTATATGAATAAATATACCATTAATAATTGTTTTTAGATTAGTTTATACATAAATGAATGGAAATATAAATAAATATTATTAAATGTAAAAACCCCTCAAAATCTCTCTTCTCTATTTTTATAGCATTTTAGAAGCACATTGAAGCAAAAAGCCAAGAGAACCGGACTGCTGGACTTGGTTGTAGAGGCTAAAGCCAAGAGAACCGGACTGCTGGACTTGGTTGTAGAGGCTTGGAATTTCAAAATCAAACGTGGACTTGAATGCAAATAATTAAAATGAAGTGGGCTTTTATGCATTTATTCAAGATTACAAAACCGGACTTTGTGGTTGCTACAGCAACGTTGGATTTTCTCAAATGAATGAAATGAAGTTTCACTACATGGGCCGAAAACAAATGAATGGGAATGGGCCGGATTTCAATTTTTCATTTGCTGCTGAGATGTGGACCGGACTTGGCTTCTTGGACTTGGAAAATCAAAAGCTCTGTGGGCCGGTTGCTTTGATTGGAAAATCATCAATTTAATGGACAAGGACTTGGGCTGCAAGACTACATGGCCGGTTGCTTTGAGTTTGAAAATCAATTGAATCATGGCCGAACTATGTGCTGCAGACTATCATTCATGCAACCGGACTTGTTTGAAAATAAATGGAACTTTGGTTGCTGGAGATTTTATTTCCATATGGGCTGGACTTGATTGCTTCATGGATCAACTTAATTTTCAATTGTTTCTTGAAAATCAATTAGGCCTCCTATGTTGGATTAGAGAAGAACAAAAAGCAAATTCAAAGGTGGAGATTGTTGCTTGGGGCTCAAGACAAATCCAATGGCTCATATTCATTGAAGATTACTATAAATAGGGGTAGAGAGTGAGGGGTTAAAGGTGTGAAAAATTTTATAACTCCTTTTGGAGAGGAGAGCTACTCTTAATTGAGAAGGCCTTCCAAAATTGTAACTTTTTGTAGCAATTAATAATAATAATTTTTTTACCACTTTAAATTTTTCTCTTCTTCTCTTTGTTGGATGATGAAGATGAAGATGAAGATGGAGAATTATTTGAAGGTTTGCATTTCTTTTCTTTTTCTCTTTTATTGCTTATTAGTTTAGATTTATTTCTATGCTTGTAGTTAGATTTTATTTTCTTGTTAAATAGCCAAGAGGCTAGAACCCTCTTGCCTTAGATTTATTTCATGCTTATAGAGTAGATTTATTTTCTTGCATTTAATTCTTGCAATTTTATTTTGTAGTTTAGATTTTGCACTTTATTTTGTAGTTAGATTTTAATTTCTTATACTATTCACCTTGAGGCTAGAACCCTCTTGGGTTTAGTTTTTCTTTTTGTTTATTTTTATTTTGTTTGATTCGCCTTTAGGCTAGAACCCTCTAGGGAATCACCATTTTCTAAGAAGTGGGTTTAATTTTAGATTATCCATATCTATAATTGAATCCACCATCTTTAATTTCTTGCATTTTCTTTTATTCTAGAATTTTGTTCTTCATTCTTGATTTTTTTTTATTTGTTTCTTGATTTTATTTTTTCCTTCTCACCTTATTGATCATACTCATTCTTTTCAAATTCACTCTCACTTACACTTGCACCTATTTACACTCAATTTTCACTATCTCAATCTCTTCACAATCACATTCACTCATCAATCTTATTTGTCACGCACACAACATAAGAACCGATTTTATATTTTCTCCTACAAAACACATTCCTCGTGGGATCGATATCTTAAATACTATAACTTGACACGGTTGTGCACTTGCAACCTTTTTGGTACATGTTTATGCCGCATCAAGTTTTTGGCGCCGTTGCCGGGGAAGGTGCTTAAGTAGGTTTTAATTATTTTGGTTCTTTAACTTGTGTGTTTTTTGTGAAGGAAACGCTTGGAGCTTGAAGATCGCGGATTGGAGAGCTAGGATTTGAAGATTTGCTTTCAGGTAAGTCCTCTTTCTAGTTTTTAATTCCACCCTTTAGCTACTTCTTCACA